AATCAAATTCTATCAAAACACTATATATTCTCCTAATATGGGCTCTACTTTGATCTTTAATCTGTTTTATCAAGTTCACATCTTCTACCATTAAACCCAATTTTTGGTCTATATGCCATCTCTCAACAAGTTGAAGATGTAACAACCAGGACTGGAGTACCTTATCCTGTTTTAACTCTTCCAATGATTTAATTTGCCACTTCACGTGATCTTGATTCTATCCCTCTGTTAATGCAGCCTAGCACTGTGTTGGCTTTTTTGGCAGCTGCAGCACACTGCTGGCTCATATTTAAGTGATTGTCCACTAGGACTCTGAAATCCCTCTCACAGTTACTACTATTGAGCAAGGTACCACCTATACTGTACCTGTGTATTTGGTTCTTCTTGCCTAAATGTAGAACCTTACTTTTTTCACCATTGAATTTCATTTTGTTAGAAGCGCCCAATGTTCGAGTCTGTCAAGATCGTTCTGTACCTTAAGCCTATCTTCTGGAGTGTTGGCTATTCCTGCCAGCTTGGTGTCGTCGGCAAATTTGATGAGTTCCCCATCTATCCCCTTATCCAAATCATTGATGAAGATGTTGAAAAGCACTGGGTTCAGAACAGAGCCCTGGGGCACCCCACTACACACTTCCCTCCATGTAGATGCAGTTCCATTGAGGACCACATGCTGAGTACGGTCAGTCAGCAGCTACGAATCCATCTGGTAGTGATGCTGTCTAACCCACATTTTTCTATCTTAGCAAGTAGTAGGTTGTGGTCTACTTTATCAAATTTGAGTAAGTCGAGTTCATATCATCTGCAAGTGGATTTAAAAGATATGTCTCACCTTCCATTTTTATCCCGTTAATCTGATTATTGGATCTAAGTGCTATTGCCTGCAGCTCTGTAGCTAAGCTGAATAGTAAAGGTAGGTGATAAAGGACAACCTTGCCTGTTAACTCTTAAAATCATGATAGGTCTGAATCATAACTGTTAAGTATTATCTGGGCTTTATGAGCATTTTCACACTTACAACTGCTGCAGCATCCCCATGGTCATGTAATTTACATTTGGATACTTGATAGCTCACATTTATGATGGTTGCTGTATCTCAGAGTCATATGATCCCCTTTTACAACCTTCTGACAAGCAAACTCAATGTGGAAGCCAGGTTCACTTAACAACCGTGTTACTAATTTAACAACTGCAGTGATTCACTTAACAACAGTAGCAAGAGTAGTCGTAAAATGGGGTAAAACTCACTTAACAAATTTATCAGCAACATAAATTTAGGGCTCAATTGTGGTTGTAAGTTGAGGATTACCTGTAATCACTTTTTAATCAGTTAGCTAACATTTTAGTGTACAGCTTATATTTTTTACTGAGAAAGGAAATGGGCTTATAAAAGGCCAAACCCAAAATCTTTATCCAATTTAAGGATCAAAATTATCTTATGACCACAATTAGGACCTCAGTTTCTGTCGCTAAGCAAGGCGGTTGTTAAGTGAGTTGTGCCTGATTTTACAACCTTTTTTGCTGTGTTTGTTAAGTGAATCATGAATCATTAAGAGATGCCAGTTGCTCCCATTGACTTTGCTTGTTGGAAGCAAATTTGTTTGAAATACCATCTAATCCAGTTTTAATATAATTTGCTAATAAATTGTTAATTTCTAAATAAAACTTATTTGATTTTTTAAATCATGCTCTCTCATGCTAACATTGAACCTATTTGTTGTATACATTAACATAGCCACAGGAGGTTTAAATGGTTTGATGTAACTAACATCCTTTTCCTCTTAATCGGATCTCCCAGATCTCTAACATGTAAAGAAATAATTTTACACTGTTCCCCCATTGTCTATATCTTTTAGAATGTCTCTATCTAATTTCTCTATGGAGTTAAGATTATCAGAAAATTATTGAAAGCTCATTTCCCACCAAAATCTATTGAAAAATTGCCTGATATTATGAAGGGTCTATATAGCAATAGTATTCTTTTACCTCCTCCACCTTACCTTATCCTCTTTAAAAATCACCTTTATCCCTCCCCCATCCCATCCCTCACACTGTACCATGCCTCCATGTCAACCTTCCTAGCCTCCTATCTCACTTAGACCAATAGCAAAAAAAATCTAAGAGGTGACTTACTTACTGAGATTCCTCCTTCCCCTTACCAGCCAATAAACTCCCCAATTAATTGAATGGTTGCTTAGCCATAGTTTTACCTAGATTATTATTTTATTACTCTTATTTATTTAATTCTGTCCTTTTTCCCCTTCCTCTAACCTACGAATTCAAAAATAACAATATAGTCAATATAATTTCTTTTACTCCACAGAATTCCTTTTGTGGAAACTATGTTAATTCTTGTATATATACAAGTACATGCTGAAGCACTTATACTGCTAACCCATTTTTATAGAGATAAAATGGAGATACTGCCATTTAGTGTTTTTTGGAAAATACTATTTATGCTGCAGTCACTCAAGTAGCAAAAATTCATAGTTTGATCCTTTTAATTGATCTAACAAGTATACTCCACATTCTGGTTCTGGCTATTTTTGATTCACGATATTATCATTTATACACTACGGTACTTTTGATATACAGAGAAACTGCTATTCTCTTCAAATATCACAATTTCTTATTTAGATAAAATTTAAACAATATTTTTGTTTGCATCTAGATATTTATTGTGATTTCTTTTTCTTAGTTTCTAGCTTTTATTCATCTGAGGAAATAGTTGGTAGCCTAAGAGCCAGTATTATTTCTAGAGACACTACAATATTGCCACGGAAATTATATCAAAAATACTGCTCATTAACGTTTTGTGTAGAACTTAATTTATTAGATACTCTATGCAAATCAGAGGCCAGATCAATCATTCACTATTGTCTATTCAACTGTACCACAAGATTGGTAATCTTTTTGTTACTGGTGGTTGGCCAAATACAAAGGTTTCTCATTTCCTTGTGGTAGTTCAATTCTGTGAAATTGTATCAGACACTAAATTAGTGAAAAGTGAAACATCAGCTAAGAATATGCACAATTTTTCATCACTCTGCATGACTGTGAAAATACCATGAATATTTATTTTGAAATTGCAAATAAATGTTGCAAATTTGCAAATGCAGAACTATAAATAATGAGAATCAATTGTAGATTGCAACCTATAAGTAAAGGAAGAGAAAAGTTGCTTTTATATGTTTCCTATATTATTCAAACTTCTTCAGAGTGCTTCAGAATCATTCAAAACTAATCATTGAAAAAGACATTACTTTTTTCTATTTGTAGATATTTAAGATGCATTCTAGAATGAACAATTGCCTCATTTTATCTTCGATCATTTCTTGGTCAGACATAGTGTAGTCAGTACATTGGGAAGGTCATATGTTACCAAGGGTTGCCATGTTTTAAGCAAATCTGAGAATCAAGCTTCTGGCAGTTCAGTCAGCCTACCTGTTCCAGTTGTGGTATTTGCGGCTACTGTATAATTAATACCAGTTTGACAACATCCAGACATCCTTGGTGATCAGCACCATAGTTTCTTTTTCTTAATGTCTCATATGTAAGCATCCACAGCAATTTTCATGTTCTCATATTCATAATGACATGTGCGATATCTAATTATCCACAAGAATATTCATTTAATATAGTCTTATAGACTTTTAATTAAAGGAAAATTATTAGTATCATATAGTTTATTCTGTGTCTTGATGATTGAAGTTTTGATCTATTATGCAAAGCAGCAATAGCAATAGGACTTCAGCTTATATACTGCCTTGTAGTGCTTTACGGCCCTCTTTAAGCAGTTTATAGAGTCAGCATATTGCCCTCAACAATCTGGATCCTCATTTTACCAACCTCAGAAGGATGGAAGGCTGAGTCAACCTTGAATCTGTGAAAATCAACTGCTGGCAGTCAGCAGAATTAGCCAGCAATACTGCATTCTAACCACTGCGCCACCACAGCAGAATTGTAGGAGCCCATTACAACTGAGCACTTTTTTTTCTTCTCTTTTCACATGATTTATCAGTTTTTCCTGCTTTTTTAAGGTTTCTCAAGTCAGTGCCCAACAGCCAGTTCAAGGAGAATTCATGCTTAGATATCAGCAACTTCAGTCTCGACTAACAACTTTGAAAATTGAAAATGAAGAGGTAAGATTTGTAATCCTTCTCTTTTATGCCTTACAGATTCATTTCATGCTTTGCAGCCAAATTGTTTCTTTGTAATAAACTTTTCATAACCTTATTAGAATAATACTGTTTATCAAATTGGTTTCTAAAACTACCCACGCAATTTAGAAAAAAAGTTAATAATCATCTGTATACAGATACTATATAAAGAATGAAATGGCAAGTCCATGTCCCAAGGGTGTACAAACTAAAAATAAATACAAAACAAGAAAATAATAGATTTTGGGACAATTCATCTTTTTTCTAGTACCACAACACTTGGCTTATTAGTGATATAAATGATACACTTGCTAAAATAGAGTCACAGAATTTGACTCCAAAATATTTTGCAAATCTCTATTACTATAGATTTTTTAAATTGCATTCCTCTTCCAGTAGTGATTTTGCTGTATAGAAATCATATGGACCATTCTGAAGTGAATGCAGCTTCATCATGCAAAAGTGGTGTGTCAGCTTTTCTCACCTATTTTAACTGTTTTAGGAAAATGGGATAACATAGAGCAGGGCTTTTCAACCTTTTCACCCATTGCACCATTTTTAGGATGTGGCAAGTACCATCAATCGCCTAGCAAGGTGTCAAAAACTTGATGACCCAAAAAAAGGAAAAAAAGTGATAAAGTGTTGTAAGTCGAGGTAGTCCTCGACTTACAACAGTTTGCTTAATGACTGTTCGAAGTTACAATGGCACTGAAAAAAGTGCCCCCCAAGCCACAGCCGAGCAAGACACCTGCCTGCCCGCCCAGCGGCGCTCTTCCTCCTGTCCGAGGTTTTCATTGTTGTGAGCATTTCTGTTGAGGATTGGCAGCGGGGGTGGGGTGGGGGGTGTTTGGTTTTTATTCCCCCCTGTCTGCTGGGTGGTTGCAGCAGGTTTTGGTCACTTCACATGACCCTGGGACACTGACTGTCATAAATATGAATCAATAGCCAAGCATCTGAATGTAAAACAAGACCCTGGAGATGCTGCAACATTCCAGCTGATCGGCGCTTCTTCTGGGCTCAGCAGAAGCGCCAGGATCAGTGCTGCTTTCCAGCTGATTGGTGCTTCTTCAGGGCTCAGCAGAAGCATCAGGATCAGCACCGAGCTCCAGCTGGAGCTTGGCGCTGATCCTGGCGTTTCCACTGAGTCCTGACAGCCCTGCAGCTCCAGCCATCTCTCGCTCAGGTTTGTGCGATGCTGCCACCGGTTTAACTCATTCTCCTCCCCCGCTACCACTTTTCTCTGATGGTCGCATACCACCCACCAGGTGCCAATGTACCACAGGTGGTACCCGTACCACTGGTTGAAAAGCCCTGACATAGAGGACATAAGACTATGGTCTCTATTTGCCATCTGTCATTAACCAGGCTGAATGCTCATCTACAGAGCTCCCTTTTCAAGTTATTTTATATTTAAAAATGGTTCCACAAAACTGAGCAAAATGGAATATTTTAGCAATCTATGGGTAGGGGGCGGGGGGAAACTCTGCCTGAGAAGGAGAAAGAACATTAGCAGAAACTCATCCTAAGTCTCTGAATCTCAGCACTATACTGTAAAACTGTAGTACTTAATGAGTTGCTCTCAGGAAATAATCCACTCTTACTTTCTTTGAAAGTACTCCCTATTTGTTCCACACTTTCATATGTGCTATGATAGAAATAATGTTGTCTGATATTCATTGCAGTGTAGTCTCTGAAAAGAATTTAATTCTCACAAGAAACAGCAATACAGTATACTTCTGATATAAACTGAAATAAACAAACTATAATTTGAAGGCTAAAATTTGATTTGTTAATTGCTTTTGTTTTTGTTTTAGTGAAACCTCATATTTCTTAGTGAAACCTCATATTTCTTACGTTCACATCCTATAGTTTGATCAGAGATGAATTATCAGAGGATTGATTTCATTCAACCCTTTTCCATTCTCATTCTGAAATAAATTTTGATGTGCCTTTATGTTTGATGAAATGGACTTGTTAACCCCAGGTTAAGAAGACAACAGAAGCTACTTTACAGACAATACAAGATATGGTCACCATTGAAGACTATGATGTTTCTGAATGCTTCCAGCACAGTCGTTCAACTGAGTCTGTGAAGTCAACAGTTTCTGAGACCTACCTGAGCAAGCCTAGCATAGCTAAAAGAAGAGCTAACCAGCAGGAGACTGAACAGTTTTATTTCATGGTATGTCGGATGTTTTACATACTGTGTAATGTGACCTGATTGTAGTTGTTTTGTTCCCTGAAATCCCACTAATTTTGATTACAAATATTCAGATAAGAAATACAGATTCTGTCTCTGCAGAAATTCAGAGAGTACTTGGAAGGAAGCAATCTTATCACGAAGCTTCAGGCAAAACATGATTCACTGCAGCAGACACTTGGAGAAGGTAAATAATTCAAAATACATTACAGACATATATTGAACATTAGGATTTGGACAGTTATTATAGGTAACATAGGTTTCTGCTACATAGAATTTTCTTATTAGATATCAAAAGCAAACTCAGAGAACACCAATAATCCAACAATTCAACTTTGAGCTGCATATTTTCTTCACTATTGCAATATATTTAAATAATAATTTTAATTTGTGTCCATTTTATTTGTTATGCTAAATAGTTCGGCTTGTTTGGGGGTTTAGCATGATGCATAAGCTCATGTTTTATAGTTTGTAAACTATTATTCCTTTTCAATAAAGGATCATGCTAAACCAAGGGGAAGTAAACCAAAAGTCATATTACGATTTAATATTGCTTGCAAATGGTGTCTCATAACATAGCAAACAGTATACACTTCGATAAGGGAAAAACATCCCAAACCACAAACACAAAATAAAACTAATCTTGTTTTTTTTATTTATTGAATCTTTACATTTTCTTTTCTTTGTTTTAATAAACCAATTAATAATTATTGCAGTAAAGGTATTAAACCTCTAATAGACAGGAGAAGATAGAAAAAAAGAAATTTTGGTAGAATTAGCCAACCGACTGTGCAAGGCCATTTAGTGTCCAATTTACTGTGTGAATTGTTTTACATTATAATTCCTAAGAATCAAGATATTGCTCTAACAACATTACTTTGCATCTTCTGCATCCCTGAAGGCTCAAACAGTGACTCATAATGAGTAGAATTCATTATAAACTTTCTGGGCAAAAGCATGGTGCTGCTACTTTGTTCATTATATTACTGAGAAAGCATATATTTCATTACAAATGTGCTCCAGCAGAGTAATTCTTCAAACAGTGGGATTTCATGCATTATCATGAATCACAGAAAATCTCATATTTAAATGGGATTCTTAATAATGCTGTTCCAGATGTGTAAAAATCAAGTTTAAAAGAAAATTTCTATTACCCACATAATTTAATATTTAACTGTATTGTCTGCTGATGTGTTATGATCTCTGTATAGGGATATCTGCTATTAAGATCAGTTTATATGAATTTTTAAAAAATTAAATTTCTGCTTTTAAGACCAGTTCGTTGGACTTTATATATATGATTGTATTGCTTTTTTCCCCTTTTATACAACCAGAGTTATTTTATGGAAATTGTGTTGTGAAACAAAATCTAAGTAATCATTTATGAAAAGCAGCAATTTGTGCTGTTATAGGACTTATATGGGTAGTGCTGAATAATAGAATAGTTATGTTTCAGGTTAACTATAACTAAATCAAGTGACATATATTAATGTATATGGTCTGTTTGCAGAAATGTCAGCATTTATAAGAATTAAACCAAGACCTGAATTCTTTTCCCATCAAACAGCCATAATTATGTTTATTAAATACAATTTGGATCCCTGATTTCTTATTTTGTAAACTACTGTAATAGAAATTTATTTTTTCTTTGTTGTCTTAATTTCTACAAATTATCCATCACTGACATTTTGTGTACAACCTCCATTTATTCAGAGGGACTTTTGCAGTATTGCTAAGTTATATATGATTGAAATGTATGAAGGATATATAGAACATTATTGGGCTCATCTGTACCAGATATTTATATTATTTAACGCAAAGTCATATATCTTTTTGTAGCATCATTAAATATTTACTTTCCTAAGTATAGCTACATCCTAAACTATTTTTAACTTATGAATGTTGGCTATATGTTCATTCCCCAAAGCATACTGGCAAGCTTTTCTCTTTCTGTGAATAATTCATTATGTATGCATGCCCAGACTGGTTCAAATTTTGTTTTGCTTAAGTTAATAGCATAAATATTCTTTACTTGCATAAGAAAGAATGTTTTCTTTCTGAACATTTTAAAACTCTCCGTAGTGATAGGAAATATTTTTTCTTGTATGTAAGCATAAGTCTTGTGAAATAAATATGAACAATTACATTATAAATAATTCAGGACTGAAAATCTGGTTAGCATATGTGTTGTACAGTTATAAAAGAAAGATACTTCTGGTTCTTTTGGTTTTCAGATTATGTTTCTCTTATCATTTAGGTCATAGGGCAGAATATATGACTACAAGGTAAGTTGTTAAATATGCTCTCATAAAGTTTATTTTATGGAAAGCTATAAAATAGGAGTATTATGTTTCAGAAAGGCTTAATATATCCCTCTTTTAAACAAGAAACAAACTTTAAGGATAGGACACTAAATCTCCAGATTAAAATCACATCTCCAATAATTTCCCAATGGGTCTCAATGCCCTCCCTTGGAAAGAAAAACTGTGGCCCCTTCTTCAAAATATCTTTTTAATGGCCTGCTTATGCATACACCGATGGTAGATATTTGTCACTAGTATCAGAATTCTAACCTCTGTGGTCAGTACATACATTGATTTCTTCTCTCTTCTGTGTCCACATCAGTGCATCAGTGACAGATTTCTTTGGCTTTCTAAGGAAGGAAGCCACCTCCCGATCAAAGTTCATTTTTTGATATAGTGAATATATAGGGTATAACTTCAGAATTGCATAGGGATACCTGGTGGAAATGTCGATCTTTTGGGTGGCCCAGTGCTCTTCCCAAGCATTAACTTGGAGATACCAGGAGCAGAAAGGGCACATAACAGTGTAAGGCTTAGGTAACTACACACAACGTATCACTGCCTCCTAATCTTATCTTTGGGAAAGAATTGTGAGGGTTGTAGTTATGTGTGGTGATATAAACATACGTAATTTTGGTATATAATTCACAAAATAACAGTACTCTTAAGATTCATTGTGCTTAGAAAAACGATATAAGACTTAAACTTATAGCAAATTTTACAAAGGAAGGAAACTTAATAATAGCAATAGCATGTAGACTTATATACCACTTCACAGTGCTTTACAGTCCTCTCTAAGCAGTTTACAGAGTCAGCATATTACCCCCAATAATCTGGGTCCTCATTTTACCGACTTCGAAAGGCTGGAAGGCTGAGTCAACCTTGAGCCAGTTAGGATCGAACTGCTGGTAGTCGGCAGAATTAGCCTGCAATATTGCATTTTAACCACTGTGCCACCACAGCTCTTAATAAATAAATAAATCTATCTTAATATTTGTGAAATTCTTATTTTCCTTTTTCTACATAAGTGCTTACTTTTACTTCAGCCCTCTCTGATAAATTTCTGGATGGATACAACTAGAAATGAACTAAGTTTTCAGTAACTGTTAACTCACTTTATTGGCTAAGTCAGTACTTCTAGTTAAAATGACTGTGCTCAAACATGGTCTTAATTAATCAATACAGAATATTCTGGAACACTAGTGGACGATCACTTAACCATGAGCCAGCAGTGTGCAGCAGCAGCAGCCAAAAAAACTAATACAATCCTGGGTTATATAAACAGAGGCATAGAATCAAGATCAAATGAGGGATTAGTACCACTTCGTGGAAAGTTCGGAAAAAATTTAGAGAAGAGCAACTAAGATGATCAAAGGCCTGGAGACTAAAGCATATGAAGAACAGCTGCAGGACTTGGGTTTGGCTAGTCTAAAGCAAAAAGCAATAGGGGAGATTTTGTGTATGCTGTTCGTTGGCAATTGACGAAGACACAGGGTGAACAAGCAAGCTCTTTATTAATCTTCTCCTACAACCAAGCAAGCAGTAAAAGGCACGCAGGCCTTTTATAGGGCCCTAAACCCAGACAGTGTTAACCAATAGGAACTGGCTGTTTTCGCGCCTTGCGCATGCGCACAAGGCTGGTGCCAACCAGTCTGGTCCCGGGCAGCTTTTGGTTTGCCTGGGACCATTTGCAACATTTCTGAGCCTGCTCACCATTCCAGCAGGCTCAGGACACAACACCCCTCCCCCCTAGATAAAACACACTTAGCTGTATGCACAGGTACATTGTTCAAAAAGGCAGGGGAAAAGGGGAGTTACACTGGCCTGCACACAGGCACAACACTTTGACAAAATAATTATTTAACTAAACAAAACGCACCCAAAATCATAATAGTATATGACACTCTGTACTGACTGTTATCCAACATCCGGTTACAGACTAGCAAGTTTCCCTTTGTATTAACAGAAACCTCACATAATCTCCCAGATGTTTGGGTGGGCACTTGGCTCGCTGTGACCTTCTAATGGCCGGCGAGTGTGCCTGGCCTACCTGCTCGCCTGCCAGGCTAGGCAGGCCAAGACTTTGATGCCCCAAATACCCAGGTGACCCACCCAGCTGCTGACTGGCTGGACCCTCTGAGTCCAAACCAGTGTACCTTGGAGGGGTGGAAGTCCCCAAATCCACAATGGAGTCCTCTTGGGAACACTGTCCCTCAAGCCCAAGGCCAGCAGTTGGAGTGGCCTGAGTGGCGGAAGTACCCCAGTACTTCCATGCACGTGCCCCCATGCACGTGCCGGAGGTGCCAGAGTCAGCAGCCGCCTCCATGACAAACCCCCTTGCTACAGACTTCCTTTTCGGAGCAATAACTGAATTGTGAGAGTGCCCCTGATGGAATTCCCTGTCTGGGGCTGTGTTTGAATTGTGTGGATACCCCCAGTGCGACTCCCTGTCTGGAGCACTATCTGAAGTATTTGGATTATGTGGGTACCACCGGTGTAACTCCCTGTCTGGAGCACTAACTGATGTGTGGGATGACCGCCTTTCTGGGGAATTCCTGTTCGGAGCACTTGCTGAACCTTGAGATGACCCCCAAACAGCCTCAGCTGCAGTCTCAGCAGCTTGTGAGACACTGTTAGGACTGGGACCCTGTGACCCAGAATGCATATTATGGTCCTCCTCCCCCCCCCCAGAGGAGAGCCAGGAGCAGAAACGTGGCTGTTAAGCCTCCAGCGGAGTTGATCTATGTGTCTGCGAATAACACGTCCAAGGCTACTTCGTATGACAGCGGCCCAGAGACCTTGCATACCACTGCTGTGACCCAGAGATGTCCAGGCATATAGTTCCTTGCCCAGACTGGATCGCCCACCTGAAGTCTCCTAGGTGCCCGTGGTTGTGACACCTGTGAAGCCACCCGGTCTGGGTGCAACCTGTCCAGTTTGGTGATAAGGCGGCGACCCCAGTGGAGTTCTGCTGGGCTCTTCCCTATGGCTGTGCAAGGTGTGGTGCGGTGTGCAAGAAGGAAATCTGCTAACCTGTGATGCCAGTTACCATAAGTCAGTTTCTTGAGAGCATCTTTGGTAGTGCGCACCATTCTCTCTGCTTGGCCATTGGACAATGGGTGGAAGGGAGCAGAAGTCGCATGCCGGATCAAGTTGGCCTGAAGAAAAGCCTGGAACTCAAAAGAGGTAAATTGGGGGCCATTATCTGAAACCAGGACATCTGGAAGTCTATGTGAGGTGAAAATTCCTCTCAGCACCTGGATGGTCCTGGCAGTAGTAGTGAAGGAAACAGGAACAATCTCTAGTCACTTGGAATGGCTGTCAACAAGGAGAAGGAAGAATTGCCCCTGAAAGGGCCCAGCGTCATCTATATGTACCCGTGACCACGGGGTTTGAGTTTCCTCCCACCTATGTACTGGGGCCTGAGGCATTTCAGGCCGTGACTGCTGGCACACTTGGCACCCGTGCACTGAGCCTCGATGGCTTTATCGAGCCCAGGCCACAAGATATGGCTGCGCGCAAGCGCTTTCATCCTTACTATATCTGGATGTCCCCCATGCAGAGAGAGCAAGATTCTAGACCTCAATGAGGCTGGGATGACTACCCTACTACCCCATAACAGGCACCCCTTGAAAGTGGAAAGTTCATGCTTCTTTTGCCAGAAGCTTTGAAACTCCGTATCTGGACACGTGTCAGGCCATCCTGACAACGCCCATGTCAGCACGCGTGTGAGCATGTGATCAGGGGCAGTTTCTGCAGCCACATCCCTAGCATTGAGGGGAGATTCAGGCAACTCCTGAATGGAGAGAATGTTAATAGCAGGAGCAGGATCTTCCTCTATTTGTTTGAGAGGTAATCTGCTGAAGCCGTCTGTGTGGCCCATCTCTTTTCCAGGTTTGTGAATGAGTATATAATCATATGCTGACAGGAAAATTGACCATCTCAGCATACGTGGAGAAATAATGTCTGGTGTCTGTTTGTTAGTTGTAAACAAACCCAGCAAAGGCTTGTGGTCTATATAGACTGTGAAATGGCGGCCATATAAGAAATCATGGAATTTCTTTATGCCAGCCACTATGGCCAAGGCTTCTCTGTCAATCTGAGCGTAATTCTGCTCTGCAGATGACAGAGTCCTTGAATAATATGCTACAGGGACTTGTGTCCCATCAGCCTTCAGGTGGCTAAGTACTGCTCCCACCCCATAAGGAGATGCATTGCATGCAATGCATACAGGCAGTTGCTCATTGAAATGCGCTAATACAGCATTTGAAGAGAGCAAGGCCTTAACCTCATTGAAACTCCTTTCATGGACTTTAGTCCACTGCCATGGAGCCTGCTTGTCTAAGAGCCGGTGTAACGGCTCTGCTACTGCAGCCTTATGTGGGAGGAATGCGTAATAGAAATTTAAGAGCCCCAAGAAAGCTTGCAGCTCACTCTTGGACTTGGGACTTGGGGCCTGTTGAATCACTTGCAGCTTGGATTCAGCAGGGTGGATGCCTTGGGCGTCAATCCTGAAGCCTAAGAAGTCAGTGGAAGTGACTCCAATTTTGCATTTGTCTTGCTTCAATTTAAGGCCTGCTTTGCGGAAACGCAGCAAGACAGCCCTTAACCTTTCTACTGGATTTTGAGATGACTCCCCAGCAATGAGGACGTCATCAAAGTAGGGACAGACCCCAGGAATACCACGAAGTGTGCATTCCATGACACTTTGGAATATGCCAGGGGCTACATTAACCCCAAATTGCAGTCTTTTAACCTTAAAGGCCCCTCTGTGTGTTACAATCGTCTGGGCCTCTGCAGTTGCCTCATCAACAGGTAGCTGTTGATAGGCCTGTGCCAAATCAAGTTTCGCAAAAAGGCACACACACCCCTTGAGGGAGGCCAGAATGTGGCTTACCACAGGCACTGGGTATGCGTGCTGTTGCTATACTTCATTCAATGTGCACTTATAGTCTGTGCATATGCAGACTTCTCCATTAGCC